CTGGGCTCGAACTCCTGATCTCAGGTGATCCGTCCGTCTCGGCCTCCCAAAGTGCTGGGATTACAGGCATGAGCCACCGTGCCCAGCCTTGTTTTTGTTTTTAAAGACAGGTCACCAGGATACCTTCCTCCTTTTCCTGCCAAGCCCATTCTGCTGGAGTGGAAAAGTCCAGTGCCTTGATAATAGGGTCTTGCTCTGTCACCTAGGCTGAAGTGCAGTGGTGCTATCATAGCTCACTGCAGCCTTATGCTCCTGGGCTCAGGTGATCCTCTCGCCCCAGCCTCCTAAGTAGCTGGGACCACCATGCCTGGCTAACTTTTCATACTTTTTGTAGAGACAGGGTCTCACTTTGTTGCCCAGACTGTTCTCAATCTTGTGGGCTCAAGTGATTCTCACACTGCGTCCCTCCACAGCGCTGGGATTACAGGCGTGAGCCATTGTACCTGGCTCCCTTAACTCATACACTTTTTTTTTGTTTGTTTGTTTTTGAGATGGAGTCTCACTATGTCTCCCAGGCTGGAGTACAGTGGTGCGATCTTGGCTCACTCCAACCTCCACCACCGGGGTTAAAGCAATTCTCCTTCCTCAGCCTCCTGAGTAGCTGGGATTACAGGCGTGCGCCACCAGGCCAGGCTAATTTTTGTATTTTTAGTAGAGACGGGGTTTTCACCATGTTGGTCAGGCTGGTCTTGAACGCCTGATTTCGTGATCCGCCTGCCTTGGCCTCCCAAAGTGCTGGGATTACAGGTGTGAGCCACTGCACCTGGCCTTTTGCTTGTACACTTTTAACGTTTAAAACTGAGCATCATCTTTCCAGTGAAACAAAAATAAAATTTAAAAATGAACAGGAACAAAATTACAATACAAAATTCAATTCCAAGTAAGATCCTACAGGTTATGCTGATTCTAATCAAGTGGTGAGGCTCGAACCATCATTAAGAGAGAATTTATTGATTTATTTAAACTATATATATATGGTTGAGGCTGCAGTGAGCCATGATTGTGCCACTGCACTCCATCTTGGGTGACTGAGCAAGATCCTGGTATCAAGGCGTTGGACTTTCCCACTCCAGCAGAATGGGCTTTGCAGGAAAAGGAAGAAGGTATCCGGAAGCAATGGGAGACAAAAGTGAAGAAAAGGCAGATGTGATGGGTGCTGCTTTGGATTTAACTTAAGAGACCAAAGATAGGTGGGTCTGAAGCCGAGAGAATGTATTGATTGATTGATTGATTGATTGAGACAGAGTCTTGCTCTGACGCTCAGGCTGGAGTGCAGTGATGCTATCTTGGCTCACTATAACCTCCACCTTGCAGGTTCAAGCGATTCTCCTGCCTCAGCCTCCCGACTAGCTGGGACCACAGGCGCCCGCCACCATGCCTTGCTAGTTTTTTGTATTTTTAAAGTAGAGAGAGGGTTTCACCGTGTTGGCCAGGCTGGTCTCAAACTCCTGACCTCAGGTGATCTGCCTGCGTTGGCCCCGCAAAGTTCTGGGATTACAGACGTGAACCACTGTCCCCGGCCGAGAATTTATTTTAAAAAGGTTGTCTTGCACTGCAAGGATGTCCATTAAACATCACAATTAAGCATGTCAAGAGAGTTTTGCTCCCCTTCCTTTTTAAGGTACAGTTCTCAGGTTAGCTTGGCCCTGACCCACTGTAGTCTCTGAGCTCTTGGTCATTATTGTCTGCACGTGCCTTTTTTAACAATTATAGTCTACTGCCTTGTGACATTTGGTGTTGTCTCGTGTAATGTTTCTTGTGTTTTTGACATATTTTCTCAATGGTACCAACAACCAGAAAGAACCGAAATACAGGCATCATCCATTTTAAACTTCAGCAAGCCGTCCCTAAAAGCAGACATTCTGTATGCAAACTCTCAGAGCCTTTTACTCCTTTATCTCCCCTGATCTTAGCCAAAAGGACAAAAAGCAATACTCCGTTATTTCACATAGAAAAATGATATGATGGCTACTAACCACAAATTCCCAACCAATTTCCTAAAAATGTTATTTATTTATTTGTTTATTTATTTATTTATTTATTTGAAGGCTAGTCAGGTAAATCAGTGGGAGTAGAAAAGGAACAAAGAAATCTGATTGTGATGAGTTGTAAACAGCACCATACAGGAGACCAGCCCTAAAAAGCAGTTTAAACATGGCAAAATGCCTATGAGTAACAGACTATCACATAAGGATGTAAGATGCTTAAAACATTACTTATTATGGTTTTTAAGAAACAGTTCCTTTGTATGCAGTGTCACAGCCTCTCACCCCACCAGCCACACTGGAAACCCAAGTACCCTTTGACACTCTGGTTTTGAAAACATCTCTGTGTTGGCCAGGCGTGGTGGCTCACACCTGTAATCTCAGAACTTTGGGAGGCTGAGGCAGGTGGATCACTTGAGGTCAGGAGTTTGAGACCACCCTGGCCAACGTGGTGAAACCCCGTCAAAAAAAAAAAAAAAAATTAGCCGAGCGTGGTGGTGCGTGCCTGTAATTCCAGCTACCCGGGAGGCTGAGGCAGGAAAATCACTTGAACCTGGGACAGGGAGGTTGCAGTGAGCTGAGATTGCACCGCTACACTCCAGCCTGGGCGACAGAGTAAGACTCCGTCTCAAAAAAAAAAAAATCTCTATGTGATTCTAGTGTTTCTACCAGTTGTAGTAACGTGTAACAGGAGACTTTTTCATGTGGTTTTGTTTTCAATGTAGTACTGAGTTTTGGTGATATGCATTTTTCCTATCTAAACAACAGGAAAAAATTGTTACAGTAAGAGATATATGTGCTCTGTGAAGTTTGGGATTTAAGAATGAACAGACATTCTTTTATGAAAACATTGACACTAACTGCTAGATATGCCTGAATTTACTGAGCATTTATTATAATTGTAATTCCTTGCTTGTTACTTACACAGTATATCTCCTTAGTGCTTTGCATATTATGTACTGATTAAATATCTGTAGGTTGATTTGTAAAATATGTGTTGTTTCAGAGTGAGGAGAGGAACTAAAATTTAGTAAGTGTCTACTGTGTACCATGGTAACTATCCTGACAAGAGGGTGTCAGTCCAGAGGCCCAGAGCAGGGAAGTCATCTGCCCAAGATTATGGATCAGATAAGTGGCAGACCCAGGATGTGAACCAAGATCTGTCTGATTTTTTTTTTTTTTTGAGACGGAGTCTCGCTGTGTCACCCAGGCTGGAGTGCAGTGGCGCGATCTCGGCTCACTGCAAGCTCCGCCTCCCGGGTTCACGCCATTCTCCTGCCTCAGCCTCCAAGTAGCTGGGACTACAGGCGCCCGCCACCACGCCCGGCTAGTTTTTTGTATTTTTAGTAGAGACGGGGTTTCACCATGTTAGCCAGGATGGTCTCGATCTCCTGACCTCGTGATCCACCCGCCTCGGCCTCCCAAAGTGCTGGGATTACAGGCTTGAGCCACCGCGCCCGGCCGATCTGTCTGATTTTAACACATCTCTTTTTTCACTTATCTTTTTTTTTTTTTTTTGAGACAGAGTCTCACTCTGTTTCAGGCTGGAGTGCAGTGGCGCAATCTCAGCTCACTGCAACCTCCGCCTCCCAGGTTCAAGCGATTCTCCTGTCTCAGCCTTCCTACTAGGGATTACAGGCGCAGGCCACCATGCCCAGCTAATTTTTTTTGTATTTTTAGTAGAGACGAGGTTTCACCATATTGGCCAGGCTGGTCTCAAACTCCTGACCTCAGGTGATCCACCCACCTCGGCCTCCCAAAGTGCTGGGATTACAGGCATGAGTCACCACGCCCAGCCTCGCTTACCTTTTTTTTTTTTTAAAATGTATCGGGAGGCTGAGGCAGGAGAATCACTTGAACCCAGGAAGCAGAGGTTGCAGTGAGCTGAGATTGTGCCACTGCTCTCCAGCCTGGTGACAGACCAAGACTCCATCTCAAAAAAAAAAAAAAATGTACTGGGCATGGTGGCTCACACCTGTAATCCCAGCACTTTGGGAGACTGAGGCAGGAGGATCACAAGGTCAGGAGTTGAAGACCACCCTGGCCAACATGGTGAAAGCCCATCTCTACTAAAAATACAAAAATATTGCTAGGCATGGTGGTGCATGCCTGAAATCTGAGCTACTTGGTAGGCTGAGGCAGGAGAATTGCTTGAACTGGGACCTGGGAGGCGGAGTTGCAGTGAGCTGAGATTCCGCCACTGTACTCTAGCCTGGGCTACAGACCGAGACTCCATCTCAAAAATAAAAATAATTTTAAAAACGTATAATTCTTTCTGGGCCAGGCATGGTGGCATGCACCTGTAGTCCCAGCTCTTTGGGAGGCTGAGGTGGGAGGATCAGTGTTGCCTAGGTGTTTGAGGCCAGCCTGGGCAACTTAGAGACACTGTCTCTTTATTTTTCTTCTTCTTTTTTTTTTTTTTTTGGTCATCCTGGCTGGAGTGCAGTGGCACGATCTTGGCTCACTGCAACCTCTGCCTCCCGGGTTTAAGTTATTCTTCTGCCTTAGCCTCCTGAGTAGCTGGGACTACAGGTGAGCACCACCATGCCCAGCTAATTTTTGTATTTTTAGTAGAGACAGGGGTTCACCATATTGACCAGGCTGGTCTCAAACTCCTGACCTTGTGATCCGCCTGCCTCAGCCTCCCAAAGTTCTGGGATTACAGGCGTGAGCCACCACACCCAGCCGACACTGTCTCTTAAAAACAACAACTAATAATTATTTCCAGTCTGTGCCTATGATTTTTGGTTCAGACCTATAAAAAGAGACTCTCTTTTTAAAAATTGGCGATTTAAAATCTGTTTTATAATGGGCTCTCCAAGCCTCCCCCATGAGGCCCAGTAGACTGGGCCTGAAATGACAGTGCATGTGGCTATGAGCCTTTATGCCAGCAGGCAGTCTTAGAGCTCAGAGGAGATACTACCTATACCTCACATCAAAAAGGAGATTGAGTCCTAGGCAGAAAACATGCACGTGCTGAATATACGCCTAATTCTTCCCTATCGTTATTTTCAGACTTTAACGCCAAAAGGAAAAAGAAAGTGGCAGAGATACACCAGGCTCTGAACAGTGATCCCACTGATGTGGCTGCCCTTAGACGCATGGCTATCAGTGAAGGAGGGCTCCTGACTGATGAGATCAGACGAAAAGTGTGGCCCAAGCTCCTCAATGTCAGTGCCAATGACCCACCTCCTATATCAGGTAAGGGGAGTCAGGGAGGCTGTGAGGGGAGCGTATCTAGGAGACAGGGAGAAAAGAAGTCCAGGATCTTTAATTTTTATGGTCCTTTCAAACGAAGGGTATATGAATAAATCTAGAGTGTTTTGGGAAATGCTTGGGCCCACTCTGAAAATAAGGCCAAACCAATAAGTAGAATTTAATTCAAAAGTGGGATGAGTTCTTTTTTTGTTTTTATTTTACTTATTTATTTATGTTTAAGACAGAATCTCGCTCTGTTGCCCAGGCTGGAGTGCAATGGCACAATCTCAGCTCACTGCAACCTCTGCCCCCTGGGTTCAAGCAATTCTCCTGCCTCAGCCTTCCTAGTAGCTGGGATTACAGATATGCACTACCACCCCTGGCTACTTTTTGTATTTTTAGTAGAGACAGGGTTTTGCCATGTTGATCAGGCTCGAATTCCTGACCTCAAGTGATTCGCCTGCCTCGGCCTCCCAAAGTGCGGGGATTACAGGAGTGAGCTACCACGCCCAGCCAAGTTCTTTTTTTATTAGGGATTAAAATATTGCCTAGGCAAGTGAGTTTATTAAAAATGCATATGCTTTGTTCTACATACTTGCTTGGCAAGTGTCTTTTAAAAATGCATATTTTGGGCTGGGCGCCATGGCTCACGCCTGTAATCCCAGCACTTTGGGAGGCCGAGGCGGGTGGATCTTGAGGTCAGAAGTTCAAGACCAGCCTGGTCAAGAGGGTGAAACCCCATCTCTACTAAAAAAAAAAAAAAATACAAAAATTAGCCAGGTATGGTGGTGGGTGCCTGTAATCCCAGCTACTCGGGAGGCTGAGGCAGAGAATTGCTTGAACCCAGGAGGTGGAGGTTGCAGCGAGCTAAGATTGCGCCACTGCCCTCCAGCCTGGGTGGCAGAGCGAGACTCCGTCTCAAAAAAAAAAAAAAAAAATGCATATTTTGTGGCTGGGCAAGGTGGCTCACACCTGTAATTCCAGCACTGTTGGAAGCTGAGGCAGGAGGATCACTTGAGACTGGAAATTTGAAGCCAGCATGGGCAACATTGCAAAACCCTGTCTACAAAAAGTTAAAAGTTAGCCAGACGGCCGGGCGCGGTGGCTCATACCTGTAATCTCTGCACTTTGGGAGGCCGAGGCGGGCGGATCACGAGGTCAGGAGATCGAGACCATCCTGGCTAACACGGTGAAACCCTGTCTCTACTAAAATACAAAAAATTAGCCGGGCGCGGTGGCGGGTGCCTGTAGTCCCAGCTACTCGGGAGACTGAGGCAGGAGAATGGCGCGAACCCGGGAGGCGGAGCTTGCAGTGAGCCGAGATCGCGCCACTGCACTCCAGCCTGGGCGACAGAGTGAAGACTCTGCCTCAAAAAAAAAAAAAAAAAAAAAAAAAGTTAGCCAGACATGGTGGTGCACCGCTGTAGTCTTAGTTGCGTGAGAGGCTGAGGCAGGATTATTTGAACCCAGGAGTTTGAGGCCAGCCTGGGCAACATGGCAAGATTCCATCTCTAAAAGTAAAGTACAATTAAACACACACAAAAACAGCCTTTTTTGTCCAGACACAGTGGCTCATGCCTGTAATTATAGCATTTTAGGAGGCTGAGGCAGGTGAATCACTTGAGGTTAGGAGTTCGAGACCAGCCTGGCCAACATGGTGAAACCCCGTCTCTAGTAAAAATACAAAAATTAGCTGGGTGTGATGGCGCACGCCTGTAATTCCAGCTACTAGGAAGCTGAGGCAGGAGAATCGCTTGAACCCGGGAGGTGGAAGTTGCAATGAGCCGAGATTGTGCCAGTGTACTCCAGCCTGGGTGACAGAGTGAGACACTCTCAAAAAAAAGAAAACACCCTCTTTTTATTTGGAAATACTGAGATCCTTTGGAGTTGTAAAATCCTGTAATTCTGTGAAAAGAGTTACCTAACTAATATGCAAGGCCTATGTAGTAAAAAGAGTTCCTTGGAATGCAGTTCAAAATAGTAAAGAAAAGTCCTGCAGAACAGTGAATCCACCCTGCTGGCCATTCACTCAGTGAGCTCACCTTGTAGCTTTCCTGCCATCATGGCAAAATGCCAACTGCTGAGGATTCTTTCATTCAGTTGGCAAATATTAGTTGTGCTATGATTGTGTGCCAGGTACTGGAGATGATTGAAACAGGACTTCTGCCACCAAAAAGTTCACAGTGTCATGATGTCACCCAGTAGGTGTCGAGTTGCCACTTGTTACTATCCTTGGAATTGGCTGCTTCAGAGCAGTCAGCTTTTTGTTGGAAGGCTAAGGCAGTGCCATATTCACACCCTGAATCCTGAGATGATGTTCTACCAGGTTCCAAACTTCCCTCATCTTTTTATACCATGAAGCCTGCATGTGAGGAAGTGTTGCGCAGCCTTACTAGCTTTTGATTTGGGTTGCGAGGGAAATGTACGCTTATTATACAGCACTTGGTTTGTTTGGGGGAAATGTACACTTGTTATCTATATAACAGCTAGAGACTGCCTCCTTACTTTCACACTGTATTGGACGTACCAGCTGAACACAAGGACTGTCTCGTCTTCGCAGCATCTTAGTTTTAGAATTGCTGGGTCGAGAGATGTTAGGTGGTTCTTTGTGTGAGTCTCAGTATACCTTTCTAAACAGCTTAGTGCTCCCACAACTTTATAGGTGTTAGGGTTTTTTTCAGTGGTGTATTGTTCCCACGTTCATGATTTTATTTGATCCTTGGAAGGGAATATCCTTATTTTGTAGCTGTGGGCTTTGAAATTCAGAGCAGTTCCCAGTGATGTGCAGTGGCCTTCTGCACGAGGCGCCTGTTCTCCTTACATCTTTGTTCTCCTTCTCACCCCATTGTATTACCTCCTGGGAAGTCTGTGCTCCCTTCTCTTAGGGTCATTGTGACTTGCAGGAAACATAATGTTTGGAACTAAACTAGGGATTCCCTGCCAAATGTTGTATCTTGAGTCATATCCTACTCTTTGGGAGAAAGCTGACATGTATCCTCTAGGCCTTTTTCGTCATCCTAGAATGTTTTGCTTTTGGTCTGGCTTCTTGGACATTCCTGCAGTAACGTTCCTTTTCCCTCAATAGGGAAGAACCTACGGCAGATGAGCAAGGACTACCAACAAGTGTTGCTGGACGTCCGGCGGTCGTTGCGGCGGTTCCCTCCTGGTGAGAAGCTCTCGCGGTCCTGCCACATTTGGAAAGACTGTATCTGTCCCAGGTCATACCATGTGACCTAGTATGCTGGACCCTGCCTCCTCAGGGACCTTCAGAACTCTCCTTTTGCTGAGTCATCCTTTTGTTGCCTGGTCACTTTCAGACCCCCACTGTGAAAGCCTGAACCAAAAATAATTTCTCCTGGCCTGGAGGTGGTGAATGAGAGAAGAGGGTTTGTTTTTCCTTGAAGCCACAAAAAGGAGTTAATAAGAATTGTTAGAGCCATCAGTCTGGTGTTTAAGAGCAGATTGGTGTGGAATTGGGCACCAACATGAATGATTAATATCTTAATTAAGTTTAAAAATAATGATATCTTGCGCATACATATGTAAGATTCCTTAGAGGGAAGAGAGGCCATTCCCTGTTTGTGTAAGAGTATATTCCTTAATTTGTTCAGCAGCGATAGATAAAAAAAAAATAAATACAAAGAAAACAAAAAAAAGAGAATATATTCCTAAAATTACCTCTTCATTTCCGGAAGAAAGAAAAGAAGGACCGTTGTCTCAGTTTTCACAGTGAAAGGAACTGGGCAACAAATGTCGCATGGATGACCTATTTTTCTTCCTCTGGCAACTCCACCTTTAGGTTGTGAAGAAAGGAGAATTGCTAAAGGGAACAGGAGCCTCTGAGCTCCTGCCTCCCTCTTCTGGACTGTGCTCTGGCCTGGCTTTTGTTGTTGAAGGGGCTGCTTTCCTGCTGGCATTCCTGCTTCCTGGACAGACTTTCGCAATCCCCAGGTAGCAGCAGTCTGCCAGCGTGGTTTTGATAAAAGCACATGCCCACGGTCCATTCCCTTTTCCTAGCCTGCTGGTTTGGATGAGATCACATAGGACAGATACCTCCCTTTTTTTTTTTTTAAAGACAGAGTTTCACTCTTGTTGCCCAGGCTGGAGTGCAATGGCACTGTCTCAGCTCACTATAACCTCGGCCTCCCGGGTTCAAGCAGTTCTCCTGCGTCAGCCTCCCAAGTAGCTGGGATAACAGGTGCCTGCCACCATGCCCGGCTAATTTTGTGTGTGTGTTTTTAATAGAGAGGAGGTTTCACCATGTTGGCCAGTCTGGTCTCAAACTCCTGACCTTAGGTGATCCACGTACCTCGGCCTCCCAAAGTGCTAGGATTACAGGCGAGAGCCACCGTGCCTGGCCCCCATTTTTTCCTAGGTAGCCTGTTTTCCCTCTGAACCCTTTATTCCTCTTCCATTGATGTAATATCTGTGATATTCTTTCTGTAGGCTGAACTTACCATGTGGCTTCATATTCTTTTTCCATTCATGGTCTTCTGGGCTTGACTCACTGCTCTTTTGCTGAAAATTCACACAGGGTTTAATTTTTACTCTCACTCCTTTCACTGCTTCACCTATCAGCAGCCCTGGGTTTGCTTCATTTCCTTATTTATCTTTTAGGGTATGCTTTCTATTTGAGAAGGGATGGGGTAAATATGAGCAAGGGGTGAGCTTTGCTCTTACCTGCAATCCTTTGTCCAGTTTAGTTTGGGCCCTTACATTAGCTGCTTTCTCTCTCTGAGTATGTGTTTATAACTAAAAGCTAATGGTGTAGGGAAGCTGTGCATGTGCCGTTCTTCTAATGTGGCTCATGAGGCCAAGGCTTGGCATTTTTACTGCTGGCAGGACTAGCTCTGGACTCTGAAAGAACTCCCAAGACAGGCTTCCCTGTTTCCAGCTATAATACATCTTTGGATCAAGAGGATCGGTTTTTCCCGTAACGTTTGCTTTGGTTTAAAGGGAAACATGCAACTTTAACATTTTTTTATTTTTATATAATTTCATACTTACTGAAAAGTTGTAAAAATAGGACAAAGAATTCCCCAGATACCTTTTACCCAGATTTCGTTTTGTTTTCACATTTTACTACATTTGCTTTTTTAGCTGCTTTCTCTCTTTCCTTCACTTTACACATAGACATACACTTTTTCTCTGAACTATTTAAGTTGCAAACATGACACCTTTTTACCCCTAAATGTTTCAGGATATATTTCCTAAATATAAGGCTCTCACATAATCATAGTACACTGAGCAACATCAGTAACAACACTGAAAAATAGTTAACTAATTAATGCACAGATTTTACTCACATTTCACCATTTCTTCGAGTCATGTGCTTCACTGGAGAAGGAAATACAGGTTTATGCGTTTCTCATGCTGTCATCATATCTCTTTAGCCATTTTTAATCTGGAACAGTTCCTTTGTACTGTATGAGAGGCCAGTTATTTTTGTGAAATTTTTCTTACTTTGGGTGTATTGGGTATTTCTTCATCGTGAGATGTAGGTTTGTGCGCTGTTGATAGGAATCCTGCAGACGTGATGCTGAGCTCTGTCAGTGCATCGCATCGGGAGGCAGAGGCTTCTGCGGCTCCCATAGTTAAAATACTGCAGTTAAATACTGTGTCCCAGCAGTATTAACTGCAGCGACTTGGTTAAGGTGGTGTCTGCGGCTTCCCCCACTGGAGAGCTAGCGGCTGCCTTTTCCTGTATGCCAGGTGGTATCAACAGTGGATCCTGATATGCGTTGCCAAATTATTTGTAATTCATTTTCCTTTTTTCTCTGAAAATTCATTGCTGGCCTTCTTCGACCTCCTTATTAACTAGGCTGCTTGGTATGTTCAAAGGCATCTCCTCTCTGTTCCTGTCCCCAGGCATGCCAGAAGAACAGAGAGAAGGGCTCCAGGAAGAACTGATTGACATCATCCTCCTCATCTTGGAGCGCAACCCTCAGCTGCACTACTACCAGGGCTACCATGACATTGTGGTCACATTTCTGCTGGTGGTAGGCGAGAGGCTGGCAACATCCCTGGTAGAAAAATTATCTACCCACCACCTCAGGTACTAGTACAGAAGGACATGAGAGGACAGGCATCACTCCTCAGCCATCCTGGGGATAACTCATTGGCCCATTTTCTGGTCAACTTTTTTTAGAAGTTTGAGCCCTTGCCACCCCCAGCCCTGATCTAAGTGTTTGGTGACCAGGCTTATTGAATTGTCTCCCTCCAGGGATTTTATGGATCCAACAATGGACAACACCAAGCATATATTAAACTATCTGATGCCCATCATTGACCAGGTGAATCCAGAGCTCCATGACTTCATGCAGAGGTACATGTGTGTCCGCATTTGTGTGTGCATACACACACCCACACCCCTCCTCACAAGCCGAGCGCAGTCTCCTCATTGTCTTGGGGGGATTTGTTAAGTTCTCCCAAGTTGTTCCAGTCACCAGCAATCTGGATAATTCCGTTCTTGGAGCACTTTTTGGGGACTGTGCTCTTTGGGGGACATATCCCATCCCTTGAGTTTACATCTAGTGGGGAGAGGTGGATAAGGTATGTATGCCAAGGTAGATGTTGAGATGATTGCCACAAGACAAACACGAAGTCCTGTGGGATCCAGCGGCGAGAAGGAGAAGGCCGACCATGGGTGGTTTTATTTCCTAAGTACCAAAGAGAAGAACTATTTTTTTGCAAATCCCATGTGATGTTTGTTTCTTCTCTGTTTAGTTGGAAATGTGTTCTTGGCCAATGCCTCTTTTTAAAAAAATTTTAAAAGGTAATGGGTACGCCTTTTTTCCTTTGAGACGGAGTGTTTGCTCATTGCCCAGGCTGGAGTATAATGGCATGATCTCAGTTCACCGCAACCTCTACCTTCCAGGTTCAAGCGATTCTCCTGCCTCAGTCTCCCAAGTAGCTGGGATTACAGGCATGTGCCACCACACCAGGCTAATTTTGTTTTTTTAGTAGAGATGGGGTTTCTCCGTGTTGGTCAGGCTGATCTCGAACTCCCGATCTCAGGTGATCTGCCCACTTCGGCCTCCCAAAATGCTGAGATTATAGGCGTGAGTCACCACGCCTGGCAGCTACGTCTGAAGATATTTCATTTGTCTCATGTTAATTGAAAAATTAATGTGGTCATGTTTTCAGGCCTGGGAATATGTACCTGTGCCCCCCACAAGGGTAAGACTTACTCAGAAGGAGAATCATGGCGTAGTTCTCTGAAAACAGCTGCTTCTCATTCCTGTAGTTGACATTTGTTGGCCATTAGGAGAGCACCCAGACCCTGTTGTGGTGTTAGTGTCATGGTACACCTTAAAGACTTTGTATTAAATATTTTCTGAGGAGAAGATGCTGAATTCCTTGGTAGCTGAATTTTCCAGAAATTCTGTTCCTTAATGCTTCCTTCTCACCAGCACTGAGGACAGAGAAGGCCCAGGGGAAGGGATGGCACACAGGATCTGACACCTGGCTTTCCTTTGTTTTTAGTGCTGAGGTGGGGACCATCTTTGCCCTCAGCTGGCTCATCACCTGGTTTGGGCATGTCCTGTCTGACTTCAGGCACGTCGTGCGGTTATATGACTTCTTCCTGGCCTGCCACCCACTGATGCCCATTTACTTTGCAGCCGTGGTAGGTACAGGCCACGAGCCAGCAACTAGGTTCACCATCACGCATCCCACTGTGGTCATTTTCCCTGAAGGGAAACCTGGGGATTATGGAAAGATGCAAAAGACAGCACTTTTGAGGCTGGTGTGCCTGGACACCATTCTATGCAATATTAATGGGGGTGTCACAAAAAAAAATAGTAAGTTGTGAAATGCTGGGTAAACAAAATCAGATTTTTTTGCTGCATGGCTCTTCTGAACCTTTAAAACGCTAGTCTGCATTGTGAATTGTCAGGGTTCCTATTGACATTGCCTGGAACATATATTCAGCTGATGAACAGAATTAGGGAAGTAGTAGTACAAGCTGCCAACTCCAGATTTAAGAAGAGATCTGGTGTCATGATAGACAAGGAAGTGGCTTGTGGAGGGTGGGGGCTCCAGTTAGTAGAAGGGCCTGAGGGATGGGGTGGAGATGGGAGTTCAGGGAGAAGGGCCTGGGGGATGGTTTTTCCAACACATATTCAGCTGATGAACAGAACAGGTTAGGTTAAGCCACAATCTAGATTTAAGAAGAGATCTGTGTCATTTGATAGGATAAGGAAGGGTCAGGAGGGTGGGGGCTCCAGTTAGTGGTAGCTGGCCAGAGGATGTGTGAGATAGGAGTTCAGGAGAAGCACCAGATGGGGTGGAGATGGGGTGGGAGTTCAGGAGAAGGGCTTGGGGATGGGTGGAGATGGGGAGTTCTGTTCAGGGAGAAGGGCCTGGGGGATGGGGTGGAGATGGGAGTTCAGGGAAGTCTTTCAGTGGCCACTGGTCCCTTGAGCATCCATGGGTTTGTGGACCAAAAGTCAGAAGGAAGATGCTTAAAGGGAGCAAGACTGTTCTTTCTACTGTTTTGAACCATGTCTTCTATGCTGGAGCTCCAGGAACCTCCCAGTAATTCTTCTGCTTTCTTCTAAAAGAATCTCCTTCATTTCTTTCAAGACTTAAAGGGACACCTGAGCAGCCCAGTGTGCCTGAAGGACTCAGATTATAAGTGGTCAGCCTTTCATGTCACATGGTGGGAGTTCACAGGAAGGGCCAGACAGTAGGAGTAGCACTGAGAGTATATATGTTATTACTTCCTTGATGGATACAAGAGTTTGCTGAACATTTGGGCTGAGTCCTGTCTGTAACCAGTTTATTTTTTATTTTTTTATTTTTTTATTTTTTTTTTTGGACGGAGTCTTGCTCTGTCGCCCGGGCTGGAGTGCAGTGACCGGATCTCGGCTCACTGCAAGCTCCGCCTCCCGGGTTCACGCCATTCTCCTGCCTCAGCCTCCCGAGTAGCTGGGACTACAGGCGCCGGCCACCTCGCCCGGCTAGTTTTTTGTATTTTTTAGTAGAGACGGGGTTTCACCGTGTTAGCCAGGATGGTCTCAATCTCCTGACCTCGTGATCCACCTGTCTCGGCCTCCCAAAGTGCTGGGATTACAGGCTTGAGCCACCGCGCCCGGCCTGTAACCAGTTTAAATTCATCTCCAAGGATAATGGAATGCAGGCGGCCCAGGCCCCGTGTGTCTGGCCTCTGACCGCAAGGCTTTACTACCTCCCCACAGATTGTGTTGTATCGCGAGCAGGAAGTCCTGGACTGTGACTGTGACATGGCCTCGGTTCACCACCTGTTGTCCCAGATCCCTCAGGACTTGCCCTATGAGACACTGATCAGCAGAGCAGGAGACCTTTTTGTTCAGTTTCCCCCATCCGAACTTGCTCGGGAGGCCGCCGCCCAACAGCAAGCCGAGAGGTGAGCAAGGCTGGGATGCTGGTTGAGTGCGGGTGGCTGTAAATGAGCAGAAGTGAGGGAAGGTTTGTGTCTGGTGGGACAGGATTGGGGCATGTTTCCAGAGATTGCGCTTAGGCCAGTGGAATCCCCACTGTAGACATATGAGTCTTTATCAAGAAGAGCGTTCCCAGCAATGAAAGGCTCTGCCCACCGCCTATGTGGTGTAGTTTTTCTTTTCTCCTCTTTCATACCACTTCCTTCCTTCTGTCTCTTTCCCCTGCAGGACGGCAGCCTCTACCTTCAAAGACTTTGAGCTGGCATCAGCCCAGCAGAGGCCTGATATGGTGCTGCGGCAGCGGTTTCGGGGACTTCTGCGGCCTGAAGATCGAACAAAAGATGTCCTGACCAAACCAAGGACCAACCGCTTTGTGAAATTGGCAGTGATGGGGCTGACGGTGGCACTTGGAGCGGCCGCACTGGCTGTGGTGAAAAGTGCCCTGGAGTGGGCCCCTAAGTTTCAGCTGCAGCTGTTTCCCTGAAAGCCAGAGAAGACCTTCCTCTTACATCACATTAAGGTCTCACCCTTCCATGGAAGGATTGGGAGGGGTGGAATTTCCTTTATTAAAAGGGTTTCTGTCTAGAGTTTTCTATTCCTGCCACCCTGCCCTGCCTGTTCGTGTTTGCCTTTACTTCAGAGGCCAATAGGAGAGCCTACCTGACACAGAGGGCACTTGGGGGCCTGGCACAGAATCTTATGCCCCTCCCAGTGGGCTTTTGGATGGGCTCTCTGCCATCTCCCCCGGTGTTGGAGGAAGTGGGTTTCTGAAGCTTCCAGCTGCCTTTGCAACCTGCTGGGCCTGGGCTGCCCTAGTTACCGGGAACCTCCTAGTTACTCCGTAGAAAGTGAGCTGGAGCACGGGATGCCCTCTTCACTGCTCCTGGTCTGCCCGCATCCGATGAACACAGGAGGAGGGGGCTGCTGCTGAAGGAGTCAGGCTTGGGATTGAGAACAAGAGGCCAAAGGACTCGTCTGGGAGCATGATCGGCCCCTCTTACTAGCAGCTCCATCAGCTGGTCAGAAATCAGAGACAGAAGGGAACTAGGTTACTTGTTAAATCCTACCTATTTTCCGCCTAGAGATTGCATGGGCATTTCCAGTCAAGTGGGAAGGAATGCTCATTTTTAGGGCCTAGACCTAGACTAGTTTTGCCTGCCTTTTTTTTCTCCTCCCTGTTTTCTTCTACAAGCCACAAAACATTGCTTATAAAAAGTACTTTTGTTACTATTTTTAGAATATATACACCCCATATGTAAATTACCCTCACTTTTAAAGTAATAATAGTTCCTTCACAGAAAAAAAAAATAGTTCTCATCAGAAGGATGAGCTTCTAAGATCCTGAATTTTACTTTCTACTTGATTAACATTTCACTTTAAACAGAGTTGCTATTTGCAAACAGCTTTCCACTTCCAAAGTGCCACTTTCTGACCAGTTTTTCTTCCTGTTTTCCTCAAATCATACTACTACCACATAGGCGCCCATTCACTACCTTAGCGTCGTTTTTTGGGTCTGATTTGTCTCGTCAACTGGTCTCTCCCACCTGGTTGGAAATGTCATTGGAAACTTGCTGGCACCCAGAAAGGAACAAATGAGCCTGAAGAGCTTGGCAGGAGCCTGGAACAGCCAACTTCCCTGCCCAAGCTTCTCCAAAGACTCTCCAGGCCTTAGGGAACAAGAGGCATCACTCAGTCCTTCCAGGACAGCTTTCCTCTAAGCAAAGCCAGGTTTGTTGTAGATTAACTCTGGCCTGAAAAAAAAAAAGTGCCTTTTGCTGCTTTAAAGAATTGGGGTATATGGTATGAAGCAGCCATGTACTTGTATTTTCCTGGTCTTTCCTGGGCACTGATCTCTCTTGGCAGGTGTTTTCTTAAAGTGAACACACCAGAAGCACTCCACCCCACCATATCCAGACCTCCATGCCCTCCTTGCATGCCTGTTGTGTGCAGGGTGGAGGGTGTCCCACATGCCAGGCAGCTGGCGAGCCAGAGCAGCTGGGAGCCCTGTCCACTGAGTTACACTAAGCACTTTATTTTTATTTATTTTATTATTATTTTCTTTTTTCTGAGATGGAGTCTCTGTTGCCCAGGCTGAAGTGCAGTGGTGCAATCTCGGCTCACTGCACCCTCCGCCTCCCAGGTTCAAGCAGTTCTCCCTGCCTCAGCCTCCTGAGTAGCTGGGGCTACAGGCACCTGCTACCATGCCTGGCTAATTTTTGTATTTTTAGTAGAGATGGGGTTTCACCACATTGGCCAGGCTGGTCTCGAACTCCTGACCTCAAGTGATATGCCTGTCTCGTTCTCCCAAAGTGCTGGGATTACAGGCGTGAGCCACCACGCCCAGCCACTACGCACTTTAAAACCAAAAAAAGCTCAAAGTGATGGATCATTGTCCATGGCAGGAGCCCCACCTTGCGGTGAGCCTAATGTAGACGGATTAGTTTAGAAAGTGGTGTATTTATCAGGGCAAAGGAAATTCTTCCAGAGGTGGTGATGTGGCAGATATTCCCAGTGCTCTCCCACAGCAAGCTGGCCCTCTTGTCATCATTTCAGTGGGCGGCAGCAGCTGCCCCTCCTTCCACAAGCACTCAAACCTGTTTGTAAATACTGAAGGAATTGATGGGGTTGAGGAAAAGAGGTTCATGTGACCAGGGTCCCAAGGCCACAGCTTTTCAGATCCTAGGAAGCAAGTGGCATTTGCTTGAGTTGTGGCCTCGGAAGGATCATGTTTATCTGTTTTTTTAACTTTGCTGACACCAGGATTCTCCCTGTCATTGAGAAGAAAGCATTATCTAATTACCTTCAGGTGGTTTACTTATTCTGTAAAGAATATGTGTAAATATTTTGTACAGAGCCCTGTATCAAATAAATAGCCATATGTGGTTACTAATCACCTCTTCTGTCATTCTGTCCTTGCCCACCACTCAGTGGGAATGGTCTCTGATCTGGATGCTCCCCACCTTCCATGTCAGGCCCAGAACTGTGCCATGGCCTGTGGACTCGTGGTCGGCCTTGACTGGCTATGAGACCTTGGGCAATATCTACAGTCCTGCTGTTTCTACTTCATCTGCAAGAAGTATGACCCACACGCTCCAGCTGCTGCCCAGGGCACCGTGATATTTTATATGTGTGTGTGTGTGTGTGTGTGTAGACGTTTTTGTCCACAGTTCTGGTTCATCACTTCCATAGCCCTTTGTTGGGGCACTGCAGGCCTCAAAAATGGAGTCTCTGTCTGTGACCTTATGCCCTCATTTCACTTGCTCAATGCCAGACTCTAGTCTGACTGTAGCTCGTAAGACCCTCATTCCAGAGAGGGTCCTGCCCCATACCCGGGAAGGAGGAATGCTGCACAGAGAGATCAAGAAGCATCTAGACAGACAGGACTCACTGGGTTTAGACCTTATGCTTTTTGTCCAGTTTCATCTCAACATGGTTGCCATGCTTCAGCCATGCCTATCCAATGACGTCTCCATAAAAGGCCCAGGAAGATAGGCTTTGGGGAGTTTCTGGAGAGCTGAACATGTGGAGGGAAGGAGGGGAATGAGAATTTGTCCATGTGCCAAGAGGATGGCACACCCCCACTCCATGGGGACAGAAGCTCCCGCATTTGCCCAGGACCCTTCCAGACCTCACCCAGTGTGTATCTTCATCTGGCTGTTCACTTATTTGTATCCTTTCTAATAACATTTGTAATAAACTGGTAAACATAAGTTTCCCTGAGTTCTGTGAGCCACTCTGGCAAATCATCCCACCCAAAGAGGGTGGTCAGTCCGATGTGCGGAGGGGGCAGTCTCGTGGGACAGAGCCCTGAATCTGTGGATTCCATTTCCAGATACTATAGGTATGGTCAGCACTGAATTGAATTGGAGAATACCCAGCTGGTGTAGGCTGCAGAACTGCTTGCTTGCTTGGTGTCGGGAGAAATCCCCAACACATTTGGCCACAGATGTCTCTTGGCGTTGAGAGAGCAGCGGAGGAAAACACAGTTTGAGTTCATGTTTTTTCCACTCTGGGTACTGTCACAGTTGAGGCAACTGGTGCAGGTCTGGGGTGCTCTGGGCTACGTTTCACACCCTGGTCTGGGGATCCTAGGAGCTGGCATTTGTTTTTGGATCCTAACCAGAGCTTGATGTGCCGCTTCTCCACATGGCCTTTCTGTCCACAAAGGAGCTGCTCAGCCTGCTCTTGCCAAGCTTTCCAACATCCTCCAGACACTGCCGGCGGCTGGGGAGCGCGAGCGAGCGCAGAGCAGTGCCCGGTACAGGGCCTCCACCCTGGGGATGGGGCCATCAGGGAGACCCTGTTGTCTGTGTTGTTCGTTTCCTTGGCCCAGAGGGGAGATGTGCAGGTTCCCAGGGCCAAGCCAGTGGCACTCGGCTCCTGCCACTGTGGGCCAGGGTCATGTTGCCCTTTGATCTGACAGTCGTGGGGTACACAGGGCTGCCCAGGGCACTGTGCTGCCTCTGCAAGCTCACACCAGAGCTGCACTCCAGGAGCAATCTGTATCCTGCAGCAAATTCAGGGACGCTTTCATAGAAGGTGAGGGTGGAATGTGAAGGATGAACAGAATTATGATAATTGGAGAACTGAAGGAA